CCTAAAAACACTAAATTAAGCTACTAAATATAAAAATTTCAAAGATATCAAGACATAAAGTATGTGGACAAGAAACTTAACGAACATTGAACTTATACTTGAATTGGTTGTTTCCTTTTTCTCGTTTTGAAGACTGGACATGTTTTTCCTGTCAGCACCCTGACAGTCCTCTCGGGCATTGGTGGAAGTGCCTTTCTCTGAACAATTGGTCTTGAGAGACCCACTGAGATCTGTCTCAGGAACGAATGGAGATTCTGTGACAAATGGTGTGGAGTTTGAAATGTTGCTAAAAGTGAGAGAATTTTCCACTTTATGGCTGGAAGAACCAACCTTGGGTTCTTCACTTAGAAAGGTGTCTATACAAACGCCTTCAGCAGTGCACACATTAATAGCATGAATGCTTGCCAGATCATCTCTCTCCTTACAACCGAAGCCAGCATAACAGCTGCACTGAAAGTTTTGAGAAAATTGCTGCAGGTCTTCAGGTGTGGGTTTCCCATGTACTATGTACTGTCCACCTTTTCCAATATGAATAACAAAATTCTCTGGGTTCAGGTGAAGATAGTCAGTTGAATTCCACTGTTTCCTGGTGCATACTCCTTGTTCCTGGCAAAGCACCTGGCTACACATTTTGGCTGCTAAGGTGACGTTGATTATGTAAGGATTCAGTGTGGTTTTCAAGTAATTGGCTAGGCTCATACAAGATTGCTGTGAAATGATAAGAAGGTGAGGGTCAGTATATCAAGAGACAAGTTAGTTCCTATGTGAATTAATTCACTGTAATAAGCAAACTTCAAGAAAGCATGAATAAAACAGATGAAGTAAGAGGTAGCAAACATTTTAAACTTTTCCCCTTTAATAAGCAAGATTAATTCAACTGTTTTTTGCAACATTTGTAATAAAGTATCATATGCCACTCTCTGGTAGCACTTGACTTCTAACCAGAAGGCTGGCGGTTCAAATCCACCAGCCACTCCTCGGAAGGAAGATGGGGCAATCTACTTCCGTAGTGATACTGCCTCGGAAACCCAAGGAGGGGTCGCTATGAGTCAGGTCCGACTTGACGGCATATAGCAACATAACAGCAACATGCCACTCTCTGCCACTGAATGAGTGACCTACCAATTGAGGCTTAACACACTCTAGCCTTGATCTTCCTTAATAATTCATAATCAGGGAGGCAGAAAGGTACAATAGTTAGAGCATGAACTCTGGGGCCCATCTACCTGATTGGAGTCAGCTCTGTCAATTGCTAGCTGTGTGAGCTTGGGCATCAAAGTCACTAAGCTTTCTAAGTCTTAGTTTCTTCTCTGGGTGACCTTGGACAAATTAATTAGCTTGGCTAAGCTTCAGCTTCATCTGTAAAATAAGGTTAATTATACACCTACCTCATTGGGATGTTGTAAAGATGAAAAAAAATCCGATTTATATAAAATTGCTTAACACAAAATCAAGAATATCATTAGTTAGCCCTCAATAAAGAATAAATAAATGTAATAAGTTTCACATTTGTTAGGCAAGTTTAAACAACATTGGAAAGAGTGGTTTCTAAATTTGCTAGCTCAGAACAACTAAACAAGTTGTTAAATCAAGTACTCTTTCTATTACATGCTATATATACTTCAATTTAAGAATGAATTATGACAGCTCTTTTACAAATACACTTATTTATCAGTGTATGAGTGTTGAATAACTGGAATGTTTCATCTTAAGACTGGTGCATCCTAAAACCCTAACACCAGCCTTTTAGAATCTTATGTAGGCACTTTCTTTCATGATCTATAGTTCTGCTGATTGAACTGACTGTGCTAGTTCCTCAGCAGACCAAAGGAAGTGGTGGTGGTAGGTCAACAGCAAAAGTCAAGAAATCTTGGCACCTTTCTATATTAACCTGTTTTTGTTACCTTCCTTGAGACGAGGCCATCTGCAGTAGGCAAAATAATGTCCCTCAAAGACGCTCACACCCTAATTCCCCTGAACCTGTGAATATGTTACCTTGCATGGCAAAAGAGACTTTACAGGCATAAGAGATGAGGAGAGTACCTGATTTATCTGGGTGGGTTCAATCCAATCACTTGAGTCCTTAAAAGCAGAGAACCTTTCCCAGCTGAGTTAGAAAGACAAGATGAAAGAAGAGGGAGAGATCCAAAGCCTGAGAGAGACTTAGCTAGCCATTGCTGGATGTTAAACCCAAACCCACTGCCACTGAGTCAACTCCAACTCATCATGACCCTCCTTGGGTTTCCAGGGCTGTAAATTTTCACAGAAGTAGATTCCTTCATCTTCCTCCTGCACCAACCTTCCAGTTAGCAGACAAATGCCTTACTCACTATGCTACCAGACCTCCTTTGTGGGATGCTACTGGCCTCTAAAAACTGGACAAAGCTCTTAGCTGACAGCCAATTAGGAAATGGAGAACACATTGCTAGGACCACAAGGAAATGAATTCTGCATCCAAATGAGCAAGGGAGGATCCTCCATAGAAAGGAATGAAGCTTTGCCAACTCCTGAGTTTTACCCTGTGAAACCTGTGTTGACTTCTGATCTACATAACTGTAAGACAATAAACTTGTGTTATTTAAACTGCTAGTTTGTTATAAATTTTATGACAGCAGTAAAAAGCTAATACACTTTCTCCCTTCATATCTCTCCACAGCTTTGCATGGTGTTTAGAATAAAATTCAACTTCTTGTCTTGACTGGTATACAGACTAACATGGTATATATAACCCTTCATTCCTCTTGTTCAACCCTCCTTGCCTATTCTTCCTCGGATGTAGTAGTTGCTTCCAAACTATGGCAGTTTCATTTCAGACTTTAGCATGAAGAATATTGAAAGTACCATGGACTGTCAAAAGAGCGAACAAATCTGTCCTGGAGGAAGCACAGCTAGAATGCTCCTTGGAAGTGAGAATGGCCAGACATCGTCTCACCTACTCTGGTCATGTTGTCAGAAGGAATCATTCCCTGAAGAAG